TCACCCACACTCTGAATGTCCACCCCACATCCCACAAACCATGACTTGTCACCCACACTCTGAATGTCCACCCCACATCCCACAAACCAAGACTTGTCACCCACACTCTGAATGTCCACCCAACATCCCACAAACCACATCACACAAACCAGATCACACAAACCACATCACACAACCCATGACTTGTCAACCACGTTCTGAATGTCCACCCCACATCCCACAAACCACATCACACAAACCACATCCCACAACCAATGACTTGTCACCCTCACTCTGAATGTCCACCCCACATCCCACAAACCAAGACTTGTCACCCACACTCTGAATGCCCACCCCACATCCCACAAACCACATCCCACAACCAATGACTTGTCACCCACACTCTGAATGTCCACCCCACACTCTGAATGTCCACCCCACATCCCACATCCCACGACTTGTCACCCACACTCTGAATGCCCACCCCACATCCCACAAACCACATCCCACAAACCACATCCCACAACCAATGACTTGTCACCCACACTCTGAATGTCCACCCCACATCCCACAAACCAAGACTTGTCACCCACACTCTGAATGTCCACCCCACATCCCACAAACCACATCCCACAAACCACATCCCACAACCAATGACTTGTCACCCACACTCTGAATGTCCACCCCACATCCCACAAACCAAGACTTGTCACCCACACTCTGAATGTCCACCCCACATCCCAGAAACCAAGACGTGTCACCCACACTTTGAATGTCCACCCCACATCCCACAACCGATGACTTGTCACCCACTCTGAATGTCCACCCCACATCCCACAAACCAAGACTTGTCACCCACACTCTGAATGTCCACCCCACATCCCACAAACCAAGACTTGTCACCCACACTCTGAATGCCCACCCCACATCCCACAAACCACATCCCACAAACCACATCCCACAACCAATGACTTGTCACCCACACTCTGAATGTCCACCCCACATCCCACAAACCAAGACTTGTCACCCACACTCTGAATGTCCACCCCACATCCCAGAAACCAAGACGTGTCACCCACACTTTGAATGTCCACCCCACATCCCACAACCGATGACTTGTCACCCACTCTGAATGTCCACCCCACATCCCACAAACCAAGACTTGTCACCCACACTCTGAATGTCCACCCCTCATCCCACAAACCAAGACTTGTCACCCCACTCTGAATGCCCACCCCATGTCCCACAACCCATGACTTGTCACCCACTCTGAAAGCCCACCCCACATCCCACAAACCAAGACTTGTCACCCACACTCTGAATGTCCACCCCTCATCCCACAAACCAAGACTTGTCACCCCACTCTGAATGCCCACCCCATGTCCCACAACCCATGACTTGTCACCCACTCTGAATGCCCACCCCACATCACACAACCCATGACTTGTCACCCACACTCTGAGTACCCACCTCACATCCCACAACCCACATTCCAGAACCCACAACACTACATCCAATGTTCTATACCTCCCCCCCGCCCCCCCCTCCAACTCTTATGAACCCTGATATCAAGATGTTATTTTTCCCTAATTGTAATTGTACACTTCGACAGTTAACAGTTGATAATGTATTGCTTGCATTCGCATGTAAATGTTCCTAAAATCATGTCAGCAGTTTGCAGTTAATATTAAATTGTGACTGACAGTCGAGCAAGTGGTTAATCTTTTCATAACAATTGGAATGGTTGGTAGCATAGATTATGAGATATAGGAAATCTATGTGTGACCGTAAGCATATAGCAGCCAAGCTTGACTGGGACACACTTGAACCTTAAAGACTTTTTCACAACCACATCTGGTGACGTCGCCATTTGTGCAACAGCTGCATTTGACAAGCGTGATTCTATGTGGAACATCAAGGCTATCGTGAGGGTTGACTGCTTCTGCTGTTCCAGCTCAAGAACGCAGGAGACAGGAACGGCATGTCACACTTGCAGGCATTCAACAACACAATTACATATCATAAACATGTGCGAGTAATAGTTCAGCATTACGTATATGGAACATTTTGGTCTTTGTTGAATAACAGCTGTCCACTGAAAAGATAAATCTAAAAATAAAAAAAAAAACAATTATAGAAACTTATTTGCTGTTTAATTGAAAAAACGCTTATCCCCTCTGTGGACATTTGAATATTATATTGGTACAGCTTTTCATAAGTCTCTAAGGGGTGTACATAGTATTAGTTCTGTGTTGTTAAATTTAAAAGAACTGAAACTTTTAACATGAAAACCTTTTTTTAAATTTATCAATTTATTTTTATATTGCGTCTCTAGTACTGTTTGGTTATATATTGCCATTTAATGTTAACTTGTGTAGTATGTTTGCAATAAGTTTTAGAGCTTTTAAGCACAAATAAGCACACCTGATAACCCCTTTAACAAAAGCGCTACAGTTTTAGTTTTTATGTAGGTTTGATGCCAGTTTGATAGGCTATACTGTAAATCGTGAAATTAATGTGTCTCCAAATGAATGCGACCACTGGACCCTAGCCCAAAATGCGACTCAATATGAATGCGACACCCCCTCCTCTCAAGCATCAGTGGATTCTATCTAAAGATGTCCTCAGTTATTGTGTGTTTTTTTCATGAATACAGAAAATGTGTTTCCTTTCTCTTTTTGTTTGTTTGTTGTTTAATGCTGCACTCAGTAACATTCCAGCTATATGAGGACAGTCTGTAAATAATCAAGTCTGGACCACACAATCCAGTGATTGACATCATAAGCATGGATCCACACAATTGGGGTTCGATGACATGCATCAACCAAGTCAGCGAGCCCCACCACCCGATCCCGTTTGTCGCCTCTTACGACAACCATGGGTTGCTGAAGACCATTTCTAACCCCTTCCTCAATTATCGTGTATATGATTCTCACCCAGAAACTCGTCCATTATTATCATATCTCAGTATTGTGTTTTATGTTCATTCCATGTTTTCCCCACCTTAGTCTGGGACATGAATGTTTGAGAGCCACATTGGTTATCTGCTTGGGCAAATTATTATTTTTTTTATATATATTTTTGTTGCATTTTTGTACAGGTTGTGCATGGTTACTTATATACATTGCAGTTGCAAAGATAATATAGATCTTGAACATGACATCTAGATAATAAATAGGTTATGAAAACAATGACCAGAATTGATAGAAATAGTCAGTTCTGAAACTTAAGATGGATGAACATTTTGAAATGAGCATGCAATTATTGTGCTGTGTATCGACTGCCAGTTAGTGGATTCTGAGTTGCTGTGGCCTGGTACTAACGTAAAAGTGACGATTTCCTGAATTTGTGCTTTAAGATTCCTGCTTGCCCGACCAGCCTTGTTTTTGTCTCCGAGGGTCAACTTTTAGAACATGCATGTTGAGTCTGTCTGAATCACTTTTGGAGATTTAGCTAACTTAATAGGCTGAACTTATAAATATTATGAGCTTATAGCAGGTGTATAAATTATTCTCAACTGTACTTTTTTATCTTCATTGTGGTCCAGTGTCACAAGAAACCTGATCTGGCAACATTTAACAATTGAAGTAATGTGACCTGTCACTGAAGTAATGTGACCTGTCTGTGACCTGTCACTGAAGTAATGTGACCTGTCACTGAAGTATTGTGACCTGTCACTGAAGTAATGTGACCTGTCACTGAAGTAATGTGTCCTGTCACTGAAGTAATGTGACCTGTCTGTGACCTGTCACTGAAGTAATGTGACCTGTCTGTGACCTGTCACTGAAGTATTGTGACCTGTCTGTGACCTGTCTGTGACCTGTCACTGAAGTATTGTGTCCTGTCACTGAAGTATTGTGACCTGTCACTGAAGTATTGTGTCCTGTCACTGAAGTATTGTGACCTGTCACTGAAGTAATGTGTCCTGTCACTGAAGTATTGTGTCCTGTCACTGAAGTATTGTGACCTGTCACTGAAGTAATGTGACCTGTCACTGAAGTAATGTGACATGTCACTGAAGTAATGTGACCTGTCACTGAAGTAATGTGTCCTGTCACTGAAGTAATGTGACCTGTCTGTGACCTGTCTGTGACCTGTCACTGAAGTATTGTGTCCTGTCACTGAAGTATTGTGACCTGTCACTGAAGTATTGTGTCCTGTCACTGAAGTATTGTGACCTGTCACTGAAGTAATGTGTCCTGTCACTGAAGTATTGTGTCCTGTCACTGAAGTATTGTGACCTGTCACTGAAGTAATGTGACCTGTCACTGAAGTAATGTGACATGTCACTGAAGTAATGTGACCTGTCACTGAAGTAATGTGACCTGTCACTGAAGTAATGTGACCTGTCACTGAAGTAATGTGACCTGTCACTGAAGTAATGTGTCCTGTCACTGAAGTAATGTGACATGTCACTGAAGTAATGTGACCTGTCACTGAAGTAATGTGACATATCACTGAAGTAATGTGACATATCACTGAAGTAATGTGACATGTCACTGAAGTAATGTGACATGTCACTGAAGTAATGTGACCTGTCACTGAAGTATTGTGACCTGTCACTGAAGTAATGTGACATGTCACTGAATTAATGTGACATGTCACTCAGATAATGTGATATGTCACTGAATTAATGTGACATGTCACTGAATTAATGTGACATGTCACTGGATAAATGTGACCTGTCACTGAAGTAATGTGACCTGTCACTGAATTAATGTGACATGTCACTCAGATAATGTGACATGTCACTGAATTAATGTGACATGTCACTGGATAAATGTGACCTGTCACTGGATAAATGTGACCTGTCACTGACTCAATGTGACCTGTCACTGAAGTAATGTGTCCTGTCACTGAATTATTGTGACTTGTCACTGAATTAATGTGACCTGTCACTGAAGTAGTTTGTGACTGGTTACTGAAGTCATCTCCCTCTCCACTCACTCACTCACTCACTCACTCACTCACTCACATACACCCACTCACTCACTCACTCACTCACTCACTGTCTTCTCCAGGACACAACGATCCGTGCATGGAGTCTGGAGGGGAAACAGCTGAATTGTACGAAGACCGGTGCCATCCAGCCTCCCGACACTGACCAGGCACCGGACACAACCACCAGACCTGCAGTCCAGAAGATGTCCTACTGCCCTAAACACAGACTGCTTGCTGTGGCTTTCTATGGGTATGTGTTGCCATTAGAAATTATTTTATATTTCTTTGTTTGATTAATGTTTAGCTCACCCGAGTAGTACTTCAGTCGAGTGAACCTGTGTCGTGGCTAGCTGTCCGTCCATCCATATTTCGTTTCCAGAGCAAAACATGAAAAACGTTGAAAAGGTTCATCCAGACTTGGTACATATATTAACCAGGCACTGAAATGGTGCCTTTTGCTGTCAAGGAAGTTTTTAAAATTTTATTTTTCCCTGTTTCCATGGAAACAAGTTTGACTTTTACTCTGTTCAAAATGGTGTGTTTGTCCAGATCATATCTCTAAGACTAATGGCTACTCATTCTGCACACACAAAGACCAGGTTGTCAACTGGTGCTTTTTGCTATTTAGGGATTTATATTTTTTGTTTCCATTGCAAAAAGGTTGAATTCGATTCTGTTCATTGTGGTGTGTTTGTCTGGCCAAGATCTCTAAAACTAATGAGTACTCTTTCATGAAACTTTGCACACACAAAGACCAGTTTGTCAACAGGTGCCTTTTGCTATTTTGGGGATTTTTATCATTTATTTTCTTTGTTTCCATGGCAAAAAGTTTGAATTTGATTCTGTTCATCGTGGTGCGTTTGTCTGGACCATATCTTTAAAACTGAGTACTCTTTCATGAAACTTTGCACACACAAAGACCGGGTTGTCAACTGGTGCCTTTTGCTGTTTAGGTATTTAAAAAAAATTCATTTTTGACGTTTCAATGGCAGCAAGATTGAATTTGACTCTATCCATAGCGGTGTGTAGCTGAAATAGATATACATTAAACTACCGTTATAACGAACTCAAAGGGATCACTAATTTTAGTTATTAATAACCGTCGTTCGTTATATGCATATATCCAGCATATATGCAACAAATAGCCGGAACTAAAAAATATGTTCGTAATATCGCTAAGTTTGTTATAAGCGTATTCATTATAAACGTAGTTTACTGTACAAAGTTCCAAATTCCAATTCCATGGTATTATTTCGATAGCTCAATAACTGATCTTGTATATGAACAGACAGATGAGATAGAAATTCTCTCACCAAGTTGTACTTAAAGTAACAGTCAGATGATTTGGTTATTTTTCGATTTTGTAGGGGCAGGGTGGATTAGTCATGTTCTAATGACTCTTGTTTTCTCCTGTTCGATCTCAGACATCAAAATTAACTCATGTATGGTTCTAATAAGCGCCCAGCCTTTGTTAATTTTCTAAGCTCCCAAGGTGCTTATTGCTGCAAATACGGTATTTGGACTGTGTGATATTGCACTCCAGGTACCCCAGTGTGGAAGTCTACAGATTGGCAGCCCGAGATGAGGGCTGTTCCCTGACCCTGCAGCAGTGCATCTCATTGACTGTTGACCCCTGGGACATTAGTTTTGATGGTGATGGCAACTTGTGGCTGGTCCAGCCAGTAGAGGGCAGCACGCTACAGGTGTACCGCTCCCTCCCAGATGGTGGCCATTCTGTCAAGGTAAACAGTAATATGCAGTTTCCTTTCAAGCTGGCTTGATGTGTCAGAAATGACTGGCCTCCTGGTTTTGTTGTCCTGGCTTCTGTGCAGGCTGGTGTGTCACTTTGACATGATGCATGGATGAGAATTGTAAATTTGGGGGAGTTTTTAATTAGTTTTTTGTTTGGCTTTTGGGGAAGGAAGACCTTGTCTTTTTGGGGGGGATACAGATTCACTTGAGTGGGTTGAAGGAAACATTAAAACAAATTAGTATCGCTCAATGTGTTTTTGTATACTACGGAATAAAATTGCTTTGTCGTTTGAGCGGGAAAATGTAAATGTTTGTTCTGTTTAAACTAAAGTATGTTTACTATAACTCCACAATCTCAAACTCCTCCATCTCAAACTCCTCTATCTCAAACTGCTCCACCTGAAACTCCTCTCTCTCAAACTCCGCTATCTCAAACTCCTCTATCTCAAACTCCTCCATCTCAAACTCCTCCATCTCAAACAGCTCCATCTCAAACTCCTCTGTCTCAAACTCCTCCTTCTCAAACTCCTCCATCTCAAACTGCTCCATCTCAAACTCCTCAGTCTCAAATACCTCCATCTAAAACTCCTCCATCTCAAACTGCTCCATCTAAAACTCCTCCATCTTAAACTGCTCCATCTCAAACTCTTCAATCTCAAACTGCTCCATCTCAAACTGCTCCATCTCAAACTCCTCCCTCTCAAACTCCTCTATCTCAAACTCCTCAATCTCAAACTCCTCCATCTCAAACTCCTACATCTGAAACTCCTCAAGCTGAAACTGCGCCATCTCAAACTCCTCAAGCTCAAACTGCTCCATCTCAAACTCCTCCATCTCAAACTACTCTATCTCAAACTACTCTATCTCAAACTACTCTATCTCAAACTGATCCATCTCAAACTTCTCCATCTCAAACTTCTCCATCTCAAACTTCTCCATCTCAAACTGCTCCATCTCAAACTGCTCCATCTCAAACTCCTCCATCTCAAACTCCTCTATCTCAAACTCCTCAATCTCAAACTCCTACATCTCAAACTCCTACATCTGAAACTCCTCAAGCTGAAACTGCGCCATCTCAAACTCCTCAAGCTCAAACTGCTCCATCTCAAACTCCTCCATCTCAAACTGCTCCATCTCAAACTCCTCCATCTCAAACTGCTCCATCTCAAACTCCTCAATCTCAAACTGCTCCATCTCAAACTCCTCTCTCTCAAACTCCTCTATCTCAAACTCCTCAATCTCAAACTCCTCCATCTCAAACTCCTACATCTGAAACTCCTCAAGCTGAAACTGCGCCATCTCAAACTCCTCAAGCTCAAACTCCTCAAGCTCAAACTGCTCCATCTCAAACTGCTCCACCTGAAACTCCTCTCTCTCAAACTCCTCTATCTCAAACTCCTCAATCTCAAACTCCTCCATCTCAAACTCCTACATCTCAAACTCCTCAAGCTGAAACTGCGCCATCTCAAACTCCTCAAGCTCAAACTCCTCAAGCTCAAACTGCTCCATCTCAAACTGCTCCATCTCAAACTCCTCTATCTCAAACTCCTCAAGCTCAAACTCCTCAAGCTCAAACTGCTCCATCTCAAACTCCTCCATCTCAAACACCTCAAGCTCAAACTGCTCCATCTCAAACTCCTCAAGCTCAAACTCCTCCATCTCAAACTCCTCAAGCTCAAACTCCTCAAGCTCAAACTGCTCCATCTCAAACTGCTCAATCTCAAACTGCTCAATCTCAAACTGCTTGATCTCAAACTGCTCCATCTCAAACTCCTCAGTTTCAAACTGCTCAATCTCAAACTGCTCCATCTCAAACTCCTCCATCTCAAACTGCTCAATCTCAAACTGCTTGATCTCAAACTCCTCCATCTCAAACTCCTCCATCTCAAACTACTCAAACTCCTCCATCTCAAACTCCTCCATTTCAAACTGCTCCATCTCAAACTCCTCAATCTCAAACTGCTCCATCTCAAACTGCTCAATCTCAAACTGCTCCATCTCAAACTCCTCCATCTCAAACTCCTCCATCTCAAACTACTCAAACTCCTCCATCTCAAACTCCTCCATTTCAAACTACTCAAACTCCTCCATCTCAAACTCCTCCATCTCCACCGTTATGATCTTGAACCAAACCTTTGATACCCAGTGTCTTCTTATGTAAGTATCGTTATATTTTCATGATATTTGACCAACATCAGGTATGATGGCCGGTCACTGTTTTTTGCCCAAAAGATTGATTCTAAGAAAAGAATTTCTGATTACAAACTTTTATGAGCAGCTGTGTTAGTTCAACCAGAGATAACTTGCTTTTTGAGCTTTTCAAATTTGCCACTTGACATTCAGGTTTTAGAATTGGAATAGACCTTTTAAATGCTCAAAAAAACGCAGTCTATGATCCGTGACATTTTTCAAGTGTAAATTCCAGGTTTGATTCATGTATAGTATCACGTGACATGTTAAATGGAGGTTAGTCAGTGCGAAAACGTCATGCGAGAGAATGGCGAGAATAAAGAATTTTATAAACATTGGTGACCTGTTTTTATCTGTATCTACAATCACACAATACAGAGTCTCCTGTACATTATGCATTTGAATATGGCAATCCTCAGTGTATATTAACCTGTTCTATAAATGTCAGAAATATATATGATTGGACCACTGAAGTCTTTGATAGCAGCAGTACAAAAACATTAATGTTTACTATTAGCTCAATTTTTTGGGTGGGATCATTTTCAACTTGGTCTTAATATATGGACTATTACCTAGAAGATCCTGCTGAACAGAAGGAAAGTGGGCAAGACTATGGCTTAATGATGATAAGTAATAAATGCATACCGTATTCGACATAATAAGCGCCCAGGGCGCTCTCAAATTTAGAAAGAGGGGGCTCTTATTAGAATATAATTTTGGTGAAAGAGTTGAAAGATCGTAAATTTTGTTGTTTAGGCTGACAGCCTGAAATGATACAAAAGAAAAGTCTGTGCGTATTAGACACGCCAGATATATTTGTCCAGAATTATGTCTCCCCCAGAATGGAGGGAGACATATTGTTTTTGGCACGGTTCCCGTCGGCGTCGGCGTTGGCGTCGGCGTTCCCACCGTTTCCGGACCATAACTCAGAAACCGTTAAATATTTTTTCGCGAAACTTTGTATACACATTAAACCAGCACTGAAGTGGTGCCTTTTGCTATTTAGAGATTTTTGACATTTTTATTTTTTCTCGTTTCCATGGAGATAACTTGAACATAGACTCTGAATGGGGGTAAGCTTGGTTTCCGGACCATAACTCGGAAACCGTTTAATATTTTTTCGCGAAACTTTGTATACACATTAACCCAGCACTGAAGTGGTGCCTTTTGCTATTTAGAGATTTTTGACATTTTTATTTTTTCTCGTTTACGTCGAAAACGGTATATATATTGCACAGTATGAACTCCCAACAGCTTGCTCCTAATGAGACATCACTATTCCCCTGACCAATGGATCAGTTTGCATTTATATCAAATTCTCAGCTCCCTGGGGAGTATGACTTAGGTTGCAGAGTTCCAGCATACCAGCATCAGTTGGAGACTTCACTATACATAGAGTACAATTTTGAAAAAAAATAGCTTATTCCCTGCCCAAACGTAATTTTGCAGGCCATATCGAAACAGCTCTGTCCAGCCATCTGTCATGGGTTGTTTTCCAGAGCATTATTCAAGAATCGTTCAATATTTATTCATGAAACTTGGTATGAACATCAGGCATGTGTTGAACATGTACACCATGAATATCGGGGGATATTTTTTGTGGTGAAGACTTTCCTAAAATATCCTCAAAATATTCATGACCCCGTACTTGTTTTGTTCAGTATATTTAAAAGGATGGTGGATATGGATGACTTTGTCGTCTTGTTTTTATTTCATATGAAGCAAAGAGTCTTTGGAATTGTTTATTTATCCAATGTTCCAGCTGAGTGAAATCGGTGAGAGTGAAAAGACACTGTACCAGATACAGATGGACGTCAACTCCAAGTGGGACATGTTTCAGGGTAGGCGTTCACACAGACTCATGTCTTTAACAGTGCTGCTGAACAAACTTAAGAAAAATTGAAATGTTAAGTGTGACTTTATTTTCAAACATTCTGAACTTCGATGTATCTTTTGGATGTAACTACATGTAACACTAGGGGCACAGGTGGCCTAGTCATAGAAGCTGCCACAATTTTGCTGTGCAGAGTTGCGTCCCTTGGGCTTAGTACAAACCTATGATCGCTGGTTCGAATCCCGGTTCGCCCCGATTATGTTTCTAGGTTTGTCAGCACCATACCTGTGCTCATGGGTTTCACCGAAGTGGTAAACGTCTGACACCTGCATGACTTCAGGCTTTCCTCCCTCATTAACGATGTGATATGACTGTATACTGTTAAAAGCAGCATTAAACCCAACTCACTCACTCACACATGACACTGATCTGATCTGGATAAAACCATGGTGAAGTGGGTAGAGTGTCTGTCTGAAGAGCGGAATATTAGTCGGCATTAGTCTGGACTAGTACAATCAGCCACACACACACACATGTGAATCGACCCATGCTATTTGGATACGATGTCATACAGACCCTTAAACAAATATATCCAATAAAGCCCATGCAAGTCTATAATATTTGGCAAGTCTAGATATTACTGCAGTATCTGAAAATGATACAGGCTCTTGGCTCCTTTTGATTATATTTTGTAACTATAATTTAACAACTGTTTTTTTCGTGTGTAAAATATGTTCATTTTGGAGACTAGATGTAAGTCTGGAGACCTATATTCTTCAAGAGTCCAGGGGGCGGTCGTAGCCTAGTGGTTAAAGCATTCGCTCGTCATGCCGAAGACCCGGGTTCGGTTCCCGACATGGGTACAATGTGTGAAGCCCATTTCTGGTGTCCCCCACCGTGATATTGCTGGAATATTGCTAAAAGCGGCGTAAAACCATACTCACTCACTCACTCACTCTAGAGTCCAGACAGGTTTCCTGAGTAGGTATAATACAAACAAAACAGCGATCTCCTGAGGTGTTCTCAGATCTACACACAGACAGGTTTATTTAATGCCACACTCTGCAATATTCCAGCTGTAATAAAGTCTGGACCAGGCTTTCCAGTGATTGATAATATTAGCAACATTCAATGCCGTTAGGGTACAATGCCTCTTACGACCGGCACAGGCTGCTGGGGACCAGTTCTAACCCAGAACCTCCACAGTGCACAGAGAGTGTATCACGTAGGTGTGAAAGATCTGTTTTAATGAGAGATGTACACTAAACAAACAACACCAGCAACACAACCCTACAACCAGTACAACCAGCAAGGGGAGGGAACTCTACAGGAAGTTGCTTCAACCTCCTCACTTCAATCCTGTAAATTTGTTTTGAATTGTTTTTATTTCTATTTTCAGGTTGCCTGGCAACCCCCAGCACTGTTCCCACTCTCTGGAAACAACGTGTTGATAATATGTCCGAGTACTTGAAGCGTAAGCAACAACGGCTGACGGAAAACAAGGAAGGGGGAGATAACTCCAACACAGACTCTCCTCCGGAAAAAGCTACAAAAGCCTCATGATGTTGACTGATGTGTATATAATATACTGAGATATTCACATACAATAAAATAAATAATTTCAATAACATGTTTTGCATGTTTTTTTCCAATTTCGAGGTAGAATGAATGAATAAATATTGCTTTACGCTGTGTCAGCTATTTTCCAGGTATTTGCAGCACTGTGGTAAAGCTGGTACAATGAGCAATATAATTAAATCTTCATTTAAAGTGGTGCCACTGTTGGTTCGTGCTTCTTTTAAAGAAATGTTGTGCAATTTGTTTCACATCAGTGAGTGAGTGAGTTTGGTTTTACGCCGCTTTTAGCAATATTCCAGCAATGTCATGGCGGGGGACTCCACAAATGGGCTTCACACAATGTACCCATGTCGGGAATCGAACCCGGGTCTTCGGCGTGAGGATGTTCCATATCAAGTAATAGACATGAGTAGCATCCTAGTTACAAAGTAAATAAGGCTGAGACATGTCTAAACCCCTGAAGTTTGAAAAATTTGAAAATTGAAAGAAACTGTCCGCAAATGTTAATTTTGGCAAGAGCAGTTTTACTACACAAAGAAAAAGTGTCATTCATGAAATGTGTCTGTGTTCAGCCAGCAGTTAATGGGTACCCGGTAGGATTTGATTGTAATTGTCAGATTTGCTAGATACACATCTATGTTATATTATAATCATTATCATCATTATTACTGTGACGTGTGGACACAATTAATGGATTACAACCTCTTTGATATACTGTTATAGCGACGTCGGTATGGATCCTTAGACATGTACCAGTGTCAAGTGTCCCATGAAGATTTGGGTAGAATTGGTCTTCAGCAACTAATTCATGTAGTAATTGGATCGGATGGTCAGGCTCGCTGACTTGGTTGCTGCATGTCATCGTATCCCAATGGCGAGGATCAATGCTCATGATGTCAGTCACTGGATTGTGACTGTCCAGGCTCGATTATTTGCAGACCACCATCATATAGCTGGAATATTGCTGAATGCAGCGTTAAACAACAAGCAAACAAATAAACAAACCATTGTCAAGTAAGATTGAGTGAGTGAGTGGGTATGGTCTTACATGCTTTTACCAATATTCCAGCAATATCATCGTTGGGACACCAGAATTTTTTGGGAATCAAACCCGGGCCTTTGGTGGGATGAGCGAACACCTTAACCACTAGACTACCCCACCACCAAGCAAGAATGGTACATATATATGTATATATGATAGGTGAAGGATTTACAGTAACATTTCACATACGTATAAGTGATTAACGTGAGTGGGTTAGCAATAAGACCTGAAGTATAGTATGATGGACAGAGAGCTCCTATTATGTCTTGACATTGTGTAAAGATCTACTCCAAAACATACCGAACAGTAGGAAAATGCCTCTCCAGCAATTATTACTGTGGTGTTGTGATCCTGACTGTAAGAAGAAAGTGATGGTTGGACATATATTTCTAATGCAAGAACAAACTTGCAGAAAGTTTGTTACAGATCTGACAATCAGCATTAGCCCTGAGATAGGTGCTTACACTATCAACCACTGGTTTGTCTGCTGTCCAGACATGTACAGTACAGTTATAGCCCACGGTATAACGCTACGGTTATAGCGAACTCAATGGGACCACTAATTTTAGTTTGTTATAACCTTAGCTCGTTATAGCATATATACAGCATATATTATTAGTTATGGTGTCTTTTGTTCTGTGTCATATTAGGTTAGCAGAAAGCATATTGGGTGAGGTGGGAGCTCAGTATCTTTCTGCTAACCTAGTATGACACCATATATACAGCAACTAAAGGCACCATATGCCGAAAAATGTACACTATTTGGTGTCTTTATCGCACGTCATGTCAAAATGAGTGAGTGAGTGAGTGAGTGAGTGAGTTGGTTTTAACGCCGCTTTTAACAGTATTCCAGTTATATCACGGCGTGTCAGCTTAATGTGGGAGGAAAGCCCGAAGTGATGCAGGTCTCAGACGTTTACCACTTCGGTGAAACCCACGAGCACGGGTATGGTGCTGACAAACCTAGAAACATAATCGGGGCGAACCGGGATTCGAACCCACAATCATAGGTTTCTGGCGTGTTCAAGGGACGCAACTCTGCACAGCAAATCGCGGCGCCTTAGACGACTGGGCCACCCGTGCCCCCCATGTCAAAATGAAGACTTGACACAACCAGTATGAAAGACAGGACCAGTACATATGTTTCCGATACAATGCTTTAATTTAAACACAAACATTCACAACTGAATATACATAATATAATGCACTAAATGTGGACATTTAAGCAATTATTATGGTAAGAATGGATATAATTATCGTAAAAATGCCCTCATGTTATCAGAAATCTTCGGCCACTGTAACTTGATAGCAGTCCGCTTTTCCCTTGCTGCGATCTAGTCTAATGCTCATTGGCGTCACGTTTCTTTTTTGTGATGTCATCCTATGTTATTTCTATGACGTTGAAACAACCGTCTTGGATTTTTACTGACGGTATACAGGCTCATGTGGTGTAAATAGTTCTGCTCTCTGATTGGTCAATCTCACTTTGAGGCATAATATGCAACAAATGGACGGGATAAAAAACAACAACATTTCGTCATATCCGTCAGTTCGTTATAAGCGTGTTCGTTATAAACGTAGTTTACTGTACCAGAAATGCTCCTGCATGAAATAGCATGCTGTCAATTAACTTATAGTGTGGGGAAATGGTGTTTAACATCGCCTTCAAGATTATTGCACTGATATAGAGACACCTAAACACCTCTCTCTCTCTCTGTCTGCGTGTGTCTGTGTGTGCTAGTCCGACTAGTGATGGTTTTATAGTGCTAGCCCACTGAGAGACCATGCAGCAGTTCAGCAATGACATTCAACTCAGACACAGTACTCTGCCTCCGAGCTGACCAGTTCTTGTTTTATCCCCTCAATGCTCAGCGCCAGGCAGGGTATCATTAAGTACCATATTTTAGCATCTTATCGCGTGACACGACCAGGATCGAACCATGGACCTTCCACACTCGGTGCAGACGCTCTGTCTACTAGGCCACGATGGAGATCAAAACATAATGTGTCGTAATTCGTTTAGGGGCAATCATTAACAGCTGTGCTGCACATGTGTGTTGTAGAGGACTTAAGTTAAGTGAGCAGAAGACACAGAGTTTGGAGTGAGTTTAACAAGTTCCACAAAACAGTTATGTCACTGTGGCAGCTGGATACTGGGAAAATCCCATGGCGTCAGATGTTCGTCAATTTAGTGTTTGTTGTGTAACACCTCAATCGGCAATATTCAAGCGATAAGCCATTGGTCGGTATTGTGATCTGCCATTTACCAAATCTTGACATACTGTCGGGTTTGACTTTTTCCTTGTGAAAGTCAACTTAAATGAATAATCTTATTTGTTTTAGCCCCTTAAAGCCGAGCGCCAGGCAGGGTATCAACAAGTGCCATCTTTTAACGTCTTTTTGACCTTCTGCTCTCCGACTCACGGATAGGGTGTTGGGGAGGATGTGAGAGGGTGTTTACTGACCCACAGAGGGGGGTGGTGCTATCTCTCTCACCAGGGCTGTGTAAGAGGCGACTAACATCGACTATGAGATCGGGTGGTCAGGCTCGCTGACTTGGTTTATGCATGTCATCGTATCCTAATTGCGTGGATCAATGCTCATGAAATCAATCATTGGATTGTCTGGTCCAGACTCGATTATTTACAGACCGCGGTCATATAGCTGGAATATTGCCGAGTGCGGCGTTAAATAACAACAAACAAACAAACAAACACCAGGGCTGTCGTTAATTAGATGGTGACATATTACACTGATAGGCTAAGCGCCACCCGGTTAGTGTTATAATCAGCGCGTGCTACCTTTAACAAATAAGGGAAGACTACGAACAAACCATAATATATAGGTAAGCCAGTTGCGTGTAACGCTGATTTGGACAGTAGTTTAAAAATACCACGGCTGTTATCTCAAAAAGGGAGAAATCCCATCGCATATGCATTTACTTTATGAAACTAACGAGCAGCCGAATGATGCTGACAGACCCAATATCGTGATTTGTCTTTGAATGGCATTAAGAAGTGGAACACATTAGGAAGAGAATTTATCGATGTCAACTTCTTTATTATGAGGAACACAGTGTTTCAGAGTGTATTTCACCTCATGAAGGAGTAAGTATATACTCCGAAACGTTGTGTTCCTCATAATAAAGAAGTTGACATCCAAAATTTCTCTTCCTTATCATGATTTGTCTTCGCGCCAATGACGTCTAAACATTTTAGGGCGGTCTGGTAGCCTAGTTAAAGCGTTTCCTCGTCACGTCGAAGACCCGATAAGACAGATAACAGAGAAGACTCCTCTGAACAGTTTGTGTTCATAATTGCCAGTTCGTAGGTTGCGTCTTAAAGAATAACTGATACCTTCTTTGAGATTCATTTAGAAGTAGAAGTACTAAGTAAGGATAAGATATATGGATGAACAACTTCTACATTACAATTAGGAGCGACGTTTTGGTGTAGCTTCTAACACCTTTATCAAACGCTTCATTTTGCTTGATAACGGCGTTAGAGCCAACAAGTTGTTCATCCATATATCTTATCCTTAATTAATAACTGATGCATTTTAACATTCTATCTGAAGCAAATACACATACGAATGTTTTATAATGACTCAGTCAAAAGGTAGTCATGACCATGACGCTTTATGGTATGTCGTGATACAAATCAGTGAGGTGAGGTGAAATGGGGTTTTACGTCGCGTCCATTCTGATCAGTAGTCAGCAAAGTTGACCCACTTTGAAAACTTTTGCTCAGTTAGATTTACGTTCTGTTGGTAAACCAAAGCGGATCGACACCAGTCGCCTCTCGCCCCCCATCAACACCTCTTTAACTCCCTTGGGCAAGTGAGAGTACGTAAGATCGCAACCGTGCAGGGACCAAGTCATAATGAAAACTGCTGACCGCCCATCAGGAAAGACAATAGTCATTATCGACCACGTAATGTGGGTAGCGAGCGATCAGGTCTGCTCCGTCGATGCCTGCTGATGCCAGCGCGAGTTAGCCCGATGCGTCTGG